GCTCCCGGGCCCCGCGGCGCAGCTCCCCCAGGAGGGCTCTCCCTTGTCCGGTTACTTGGGGACCCGCCGGAGCTCGGTCATGAGCCAGAGCGCCACGCTGAGCAGCACCAGGGAGCCGGACTGGTGCGTGGCGGCCAGCGGCGTGGGGACGTACAGCAGCAGGGTGCCGATGCCCAGGCCCACCTGCCGAGAAGGGAGACGGGGTCAGAGCAGCTGCGGGTGCAGCGCTGACCCGCGTCCCCCACGCTGAGCGTGACGAATTCATGCCGAGCATGCAGTGTGGCGAGGCCCCGAGGCCAGGCACCTCTCAGCCGCAGGCTCCTGGGTCCAGCTCTGCCTCGTGAACCACGACAAAGGTCTAGAGGGGAGGAAGAAACAGAAGGAAAAAAAAAAACCCTCCCAGACAGTACCTGCACGCAACCCACAGCCAGTAAGGAAGTCACTGCTGTCCTGGCCCTGCGAGGGAGAGGGATCTGCCGCGAGAAAAGGTACAGCGCTGCGACAGCCGTGACCGTGGTGATGCCCTGCAGAAGGGACGAGAAACCACCACCCTTCAAGGGAAGTGCAAAGGAAACGGGCGCAGCGGCCGCTGGCTGTGACTTCCGTGCAGCAAAAGAAACTCTGTGAGCAGCATTTAACTGTAGAAAGGTGTTAACAGCCATGACCAAATCCCAGAGCTCCCATGCGCACCAGTTTAACAAACCTGAAATTTAACTGAAGTTATTGAGAGTTCCATTTTTCTCCAGATGAATGCTTTACTTTCCAACAGCTTCTCCTCAGTTCCTCAAGCCACTAGGGATTATTTCTGCCCCCTCCCCACCTGTCACCTCGACAACTAAAGGTGGAAGCTGTCACCTGGAAAACCGATCCCACTTCCACCGCTTGGCTGCAGCTCACCAGCTGTGCAGGTCACCCCAGGTGATCCCTCTTCCAGGTCACTTCATCTTTCTATTTAGTCTTAGCGACGGCTCAGTCCCCAGCGGTGCCGGCAGTGGTATTTAACACCTGGATTGCCCTAACCAGCTTTTTTCACAGGGTGCTACCGGTGTAAAGCAAGTTCAGAAATGCTGGAGGAAACACCAATACTGGGATTTCCCAGTTTTATTTCACATAGCTTTCCCAGATATTTCAGCAGCAAGGCCACCCGGGTCTGTAGCTCATGTTATGGAAAAGGAGACACAAAGAGACAAAGTCTGTGATTTGCACAGGAGGAAGACATCCTTAAGGAAGGAGACCACATTAAAAATAAATGTGTGCTAAACTTCCTCTTTCTGCAGAAGCAAATTGGCAACACGCTCTCAGGACCTTCGGACACCCTGGGTATCACTCAAGTTGACAGGACTGTGGCCCAGAGAGGACAGCTTAGCTGCAGGAGGCAACCAAGAAGCAACACAGACGCCGCAGGAAGACGGCACTTACCAAGATCCTGTGGTCAAACTGCACAGTCGTAGGATTCTCAAAGATATTTCTCAGCATGGGGGAGAAGGCGAGGAGGTCATCTGGGATCCAGCGCTGCCCCATTTTGGGGAAGGAATTGTACACGAGTCCAGCATCCAGCCCCGCGACAAAGGCACCTGTGGTTCCAGAGCAGAGGATGAGACCACAGAGCAGGCACCGGCGGCACTCCAGGCTGCGCAGCTCTTCAACCCAGCCTGACCCAAGAGCTCAGCTTGATCCTGAATTTCTTTTATAAACACATACAGAGGTCACACAGCAAGAGGCAGGCTGGAAGGCACATCTCCACCTGCTCAGGAAAGGCCAGTGAGGGAGGCTCTCAGCTGGAAGCTCCCTGGCAGCAATAAAGTTTTCCCAGAGAACACGATGTGTTTGCTCAGTGTCCCCACCAGACCAGAAGAAAAACAAGGCAGAGAGGAACAAGCTGCGGATGGGGCAGCAGTAAGAAACACTCTTACCTGAAAGAGCGGTAAGAAAAATGAGAGCTGTAGTGCCATGAGCAAACTGTCGCAGGCGAAGGAGCTGATGCGTCTCAGGTAACTGTAAAATGCAAAAAAAAGAGAAAATAATCAAGGCAAAGCATTACCAGTGCTGTCTGCAGCAGGTAAGAAAAGCCTTCACTGCATATATGGGCCAAGGGGTTGGGCTGTATTCGACAGGAGGAATCTAGGGACCACCACGCAGCACAGCCACACTTCAGTGGTTCCTCAGAACCACAACCAACCAAATCCAGCCCTGTGCAGAAACCAAAGAGGCCACTGGACAGTTGCTTGCACAAACCATTTAGCTCGGCCAGGCACACCCCTGCCCGAGTTTACACGAACTCCGAGACTAATGGCTTCTGAGCGGAACAGCACGAGTCGAAGGAAGCGTCCCATGACTGAGAAGTTTACAGAAAGGGTATTTTGTAATGCAATATTAGATCAGAGTCAGGAACAGAGACTAAAGTGGAAGCACAACACCCTTCCCTCGCCCTTCACATCACCCCCCCAGCCGCCTGAACTGACCCGACCCTGTGCTTTTGACTCCCGACATGCCACCCCATACCTTGTGTCGTGGAAGCAGCAAAGACAGCCCCGTCCACGGTACTGGCTGACCCGAGGAATGTCGTACGAGTCTGGCTTCTCTTCCAGCCCGCTCTTCACCATGTACCATCCCAGCACCCCCTGACAACAGGAGAGCAGTTAAGAGCCAGACAGGGCAGCAGTGACTGCGGAGACCAGACAGACATCAGGGGCAAAGCAACTCCTTTCTTCCACCTTCAACCAGCTACCAGCGCTGGCCTCCCCCCAGGCTCTCACGAATCCCACCGCAGCATCAGCAGATACTACGGGAGACACTGCCGCTCACCCCTGCGGCGACTGAGCTCGCTCACCTGGAAGCAGACCAGCCCGCAGAGCGCGAGAACGCGGCCCTTCATGGGGCGGCTGAGCCAGCCCTTTCGCCAGAAGTAGGCGGCGGGCAGGATGTAGGCCAAGCCCACACCGCGGCCCCACATGCGGTGCGAGTACTCCATGTACCAAATGAACTTGAACTCCGTCAGTGTCATGTCGCGATTCAGGCTGTGAGAGACAGTAACACACAGAAACGCTCCGTGTGATGGGGCGGTCCTGCTGCCCACGTCGGAGCCACCACCAGGCACGCTTCGCCTGCCTTCCCCGTGGCGTCAGAAAGCATTCCCCGCTCTCACAAGGGCTCCCCGAGCGGCTCAGGCATCCGAGGGACGCTCCCAGCCCCAATCTCCCTCCGCACACTTACATTTTAAACTCCGGGAACTGCTGGTACTTCTGGAACTCGGCCTCCCACTCCTGCTGCGTCCTCGGGGGCTTCATCTCCTTCACCAGGTGCCAGTCGACCATGGACAGGCCCGATTCCGTCAGCCTGGGGGCAGGCGGGCGGGCACAGCTCGCTCCCTGGCACCACGCAAACCCACTGCACCCCAGCGAGAGCTGCGGCCCGCACTGGGCAGCCCCCAGCCCCGCAGCCAGG